CATAAAAGACCAGTTTGCTTCTCTTTTCTTCCCTCTGTTCTCAGAGCAGAGTTTGCAGTCCAGGATTTGGCAATACCAGTGTTCCCGGAACCAAGCCGGGTCTGGCTGTGTTTTCTCAGGGCCCGATAACGAGAAGCAGACAAACTAGGAAAGAAGGGAGTTTATTGCTGTAACCAGAGACCGGGAGAAGGCCAGAGAGAATTCCACCAGACCAGCCCAAAGTGTTATCATTTTCTTCGTGCTTATATAGGTTGGGGTTATGTGCCTACATGCTGTATAGTATTCACCTAAGTATATTGGTAACTAATTTTGTTTCAACTAGAAGGTCAGAGACAAAAAATACTTGCCAAGTCCAATTGGAAGGGCCCTAGTACCTACAAGGCCTGTCTACTGTGGTACCAAAGTGATTACTTCTGTGTTATCTCCTTTGCACCTTGGTCTGGAGAGCTGCCCTAGACTCTCCAATGAATCTATTCAAACAGCTGCCTCTGTTACCTTGACTTGTCTCAGATTTTGTCGACCCAAGACAGATGCTGGCACTAGGAATGTAGGACTGTTTCTACTATTTTGGCTTGCTCTAGGTTAGGGAGAAGCCCATGCAAGGCTCCTACTGACCATGTTTCATTTCTAGCTTTGATGTCTGGGCACTGATTTCCCTAGGTTTAACTATTTGCTCAATGTTAAGGCAAGCTCTGTGGAAATTTGTCTGTGTAACTGAGGTTCTATGCAGGCCTGTGTGTGTGACTGTCACTCCCACCTGTGTGATTGTCAGGGAGAATTGGCCTGCCACATCAGTGGGTGCAAGGATCCTCATCAGGCGAGAGACGGTGTGGGTGGCCAGTCCACAACTGTCACTGGGAGGCTGGCACTGTCACCCTCTCATTCCAATGGCTCTCAAAAGACAAACTCCCGTGAGTTGGGTCAAGGTCCAAAAAGAATGATTCTTTCACCTTTGTCATTTAAATTCTGTTTTAATTAACTTTATTGAGTTTTGATTTATATACCATAAAATGTACACACTTCAAATATAAAGTTTAGTGACGTTTGTAACTAACACTTCAGTCAAGATACAGAATATTTTCAACTCCCTAGAAGTTTTCTTTGTGTTCCACTGTGGTAGAGTCCCACTTACTCTCACCCTAGAACCCAATGGCTCTGTTTTCCGACATTTTGAATGAGTTTTGCCTGTATAAATGGAATCATACTATATGTCCTGTTTGAAGGCTATCATCTTTTGCTCAGCATAATGAATTCTGAGACTCATAGATAGATAAGTCTCATAGATTCCATTGCATAGATAGGCCACAATTCATTCACCTGCTGATGGTCATTTGTTTTGTTGATTTTCTCTAATTTTTAAATAATCAACAGTTCTTGAGCTTCATTAAGTACCAGTAGCTTAGGTAGGCCTGGGCACTTAGAACTGTCAGGAAAAATGAAGTCAATAGATAGAACTTTTAAATGTTTCTCTTTTATACATTCTCTTCAGTCCAGGCTCTCCATCCCTTCTGCTGGTGGGCACAGGCAGGTGACCGAGAAGATGTGTGAAGGGGCTCTAGAGCAGCCCTCAAGGCTCAAATCACCTATCTGCTGTGGGCTGGTTGGTTGGTTTTGTTCACATGGGCTTCTGCCCATGATTTTTATATCATGCATTAATGTGGTTGTCCCAGTTTTAAGCTGGAGTTGGGTTGCTCAAGGGTTCTTCCTGGTGATCTGCCAAATTAGTTCCCACTGACTGAACTGATTTGGAACCCACTAGTTGATAGGAAATCAGGCTCCATAGAGACCATTAAGAGCAGCCACACTTGTCCCAACACTCCTGTGTGATAAAGCATTGGGAGCCACTTGGCCATCACTTCAGAGAATATCAGGACTTGAGGCCTCTCCAAATGCACATTTAAATACTCCAATCCAATTATATGCATGCTGTCAGACAAATGAATTTCTTGGACAACTTGGTCTCCAAAGGCGGATCAACCACTTCACCCAGGAAGAAACAGCTGGATCTGTGTTCCTGGAGATAAAAGTGTCTGAGTAACACTTCAGGAGAGACTGTACCATATTTCCTAGATTGTGTGTTTTCTATCTTATAGAAAATTTAAAAGATTTCTAAGGGATTCATTGACAAGGCAGGAGTTTCATATTACATGCTTCTCTCGATATAAGATGTTAGTCTACATATAGCCCTTTTGTTACAAATGTACTTACTTGTTTATTATTTTATTTGATCCACACTCCCATTCTGCGGGCAAACAGGGCACTCTGGGTGTCCCATTTTGTAATCGGGATGCTGAAGCACAGAGCTAATGAGAGAGCCAGGACTAGGGTGACAAATGAGGAGAGTCATTGTATGTGCAAGGTGGGATTCTGTCTTCCTTTAAAATGTTGACATTTTGTTCATCACAGAATTTTCGCATTTACTTTGATTTCTAAAAATTATTGCACTAAAATGTTATTTATCTTGATTATCTAATCTTTTGCACTCAAGGCTAGTGACTTATCGCTTCATCCTAATCCCTGAGTTCCAGATTCTACAGGGTGAATGGATTAGCTGGAATCATAGAAGGTATCCATTTATTACATGTGAAAAATGGATGAATATCAGTCATTTCATATGATTCAACCTAATGAATCCTCCTAGGATGGAGTCATGAGGCCACGCTGCACATGAATGCCTCATTATACTGCTCAGTGGTCCTAAGCCCAGTGCACATTAGAGCTCCTTCTGAAATTTTTATTAAAACCAGAGCCTCAGGCTTGGGATGGTAAACTGGCATATGTGTTTTCAAAAAGTTCCTCTGCTGCAAACCTCTGGATTGGAACCCCTGGATTAAACCAGAATTAAATCAGGCTATAGAGGCAGAGAGTCTGGATTCAAATTCTGATATAGCTCTTTCTAACTACACAATTTGAGGCAAGTTACAAGTTACGAGTGCTGAGCAATGTGTGTAAATGTCTAGCACAGTGCCTGGCATAACAGTAAATCCTGGATACTAATTAATGCTTGTACAACCCATTACTTAGTGTGGAGGCTCAGAGAAGTAAGTCAACCAAGGTCACACAGCAAGTTAATGAAAGAGTTGAATTTGGAACCCAAGTCTCTCTGGCCCCACAGCCGGAGGTGAAGTGACTACGCTTGACATCCACTAAGTGCTTCTTCTAAGAACAGGGATCCTCAATAATTAGCTCCTGATATTTTCTAATAAGTCCCCTCCCCACACCCATGAGAATCAAAGCTGAGCTGACCAGGCAGAGGCAGAGGCAGAGCAGGGAGTGCTGCTAGGCTGAGTGAGAGGTTATTTTGCCTGGGGGATTGACCTCCAGTGGGGAAATCCCCTGTCTCTTCAATTATCTGGCCCTATCTACCTCCCAAACTCTGGCGTGAGCCATCACTTCCTCATTTCCAGTTCTCCCCTTTAAATTTTTCTGTGCTGGCTTCTGCTCTTTGTTCTCTGGCAGAACCAGCGGCTTCCTGAATGTTGAAATTGTGGGCGCCACGGGGGACCCTCTGCTTTTCAGGCCACTGCTAGGAACTCACTTTCCTGAGTTTCATCTCCTTTCACTTTCTGCCATACCACAGGCCAAAGAAAGTAACTTATCCTGGCTCAGCTTCACCTCCTGCCACCTGTCTTCCTCACCTCTTACATTCCAAATAGGCCAAAAGTCTATGGCTCCCCTGTCCAGGGCTGTCCCACCTCTGAGATGCTGCCCTTGCCCTCCTTCCTCCCTGGAGGGCCCTTGCCTCATGTTGATCCGGTTCAATCCCCCTTATCCCTCTAAGCATAGCTCTGGTATCTCTTGATTCAGATGACAAAGCTTTTTGTCATATTTCTGCCCTGTCTCCCCTGCCTCCAGGCACTTCTGTCTTCTCAGGGACATCAACCTTTGCTGCACTTCACAGCAGTTTTTCTGGAATCTAGTTGTAGCTGCATCTGTCTTGCATGCTAGATTGTGAATATCTTCAAGGAATAAAAAAATCCATTTCTTCATCTCCTTGGCACCCAGCAGGCTCACAATGTCTCTAGTGGTAATAATAACAACATGATCATAGTGTTTATTACCTAACACGTCCATCCTAGCCACCTTACATTATTTAATTTATTTATTAAGGCTCACAAAATTAATATCTTCCTTATTTTTACAAAGAGAATGGTGGGATGCTCAAAGCTCAAGTGATTTGCCCACGGCCAGACAGCTCCTGTGTGGAAGAGGTGGAATTTGAAGCCAGCTCTTAGTGTCTGGGTCTTAACCACCATGCTATACAGCATTCCTGGTAGACATGCCTGATAGGAGGGAGAGAGGGAAGTGATTTCTTTTCTTAAGGAGCTCAGATCTCACTGGGACCAGTACAAGGACACCTGTACACCTGTACACATGTGTGCTTATATATACACACACAGAGAGAGAACATGGGAAAACTGTAAGAAAAATTACTGAGTGCTAAAATGTGTGGTTCAGAGCAGTGCTTCTCAAACTTTAATGTATATATAAATCGCCTGGGGATCTAGTTAAGCTGTAGATTTGGAGTCGATCTGATGGGGTGAGACAAGAGACTTACTGCTAGAATAAGTGAACTTGCATTTCTAACAAGTTCTCAGGTGACACTGATACTGCTGGTCCATGGACCACACTTTGAGCAGCAAGGATGAACTCTAAAGGCTGAGGTAGGTAAGAGGAGGGAGATTTCACTGTGGGCTGGAGAGGTCCTGGGACAGTGAGCTGAGTCTGGGCCCATGGCAGGGATTGGTTGGCACTCTCTGGAGCCACCCAGCTTTTGGGTCTCAGGAACCTGGGAGTGAGGGGATGCTTTCAGAGGCCTGTAACTTGTGCCCCAGAGCTTCCTCAATCCCCCTTAATAAGCAGCGGCACTATACAGGAAATCCACATGTGATTAGCACATTTTTGAGAAATGCCCAATCCTGACAACGTCAGGAAACATTCTGAAAATTCAGAAATCAAAACCAAACGGAAGTGCTGCAAGGTTTACAACAAGCTATAGTGGTTCGATGGGAAGGATCTTTTTCAGAGTGGTTCCTCTTGAAGGGAGCATTTCTGCTGGCTCCAGGACTTTGGCCATCTATAAAGCTTGGCAATGAGAAATAAGGAAATTCTCAAGGAGGACAAATTCTTGAGTGGGATCCAACAAGCAGCTTTTGACCAAATGGCAATGGAGTCCTTCGAAATTAATGGTAAAGTACTATTCCCCAATGATGGAATTGACCAGAAATGTAGTCTTTCTGCTAGCAAGATACAAAAATAGACAAGTCAATAGAGAGTCTAGGTTTGCCCTATTGCTGCATTTTGCACCTAACCCTCACTAGTACGTGTCTGGAGTGCTTCAATTTGGAATTCCTGTAATGCTAATAATAATAGATGCTGTACCTTTAGCATATAGTCAGGTTTTTCTTAGCTTCACTTGTTTTAATTATACTTAAATATTTTTCCTTAGATATATGCCAATGTTTATTAAATGTCTCCTTTTTTATGAGTGTCATATTCTGACACACAGGCTGGGTGATAAAACGAAAACTCAAAACGGGGGCACTGAAAGGGGACCACAAAACTAAGGCACCACAGTTTTCAAAACACAGCTTCCTTAAAATTCTTTAAGGGGATATCTGTTTTAACTGATGTGCTGGTCAAGAAATATATTCTGTATTTTATGTTGGCTGACATATGTTCATAGTTTCACAATTAGTTTTTTCTTGGATTAAATTTAGGTCTGTAATATTCAGTCAATTCTGTTGTCTTTATTTTCTCACTTGGCATTCCACAGGTGATGTATTTTTTAAAATCTTCTAGAATTTGTAATATTTGAAGTCATGGGTGGGCTTGCATTCTACAAGGGATCTCTGATTTCCTAGTCTATGATATTCTCTTGGGCTCATCTTCCAAGGTGATCAGTCATTCCCACTCCCAGGCTTTCCTGGAAGTTGTCTATGCAGGAACGGTGATGGCTCTGTCTCCTGGCCAGAGTGTCTTTCGCATCCCACACCCGTCTGTCCAGGTCCCTGCATGGAATTTTTAGGGCTATAAAGATGAAGCATCTGGGGCTCTGCCTCTAGGAATTTGCAGTCTAATAACAGAGAAAGGCATGAGTGCTAATTACTATAATAATCACTGGCTATTTAGAAGTTCTCAGAATGCAGTATTGTGGATACATAACTGTTGAAGAGACTGAAGGTGTTCAAGCAAAGTCAGCTGATCAAACATACTCAGCACCTATTTCCAGCAGAGCACTGCACTCAGCACTGAGGAAACAGGCTTGAATAAATGTGGCTTCTGGCCTCTGGCAGGAGGGAACAGTGTGAGCCGCCCATTAACTGACCATTTCCACGTTGTGACTGAGATTTTCACATGAGGGATGGATCTAACTTGGTGTGGGGCCCTGGAGGGAAAAGCTGACACCTCTTTAAAGTTTAAATGATGAAGAGGGTCCATTAGAGAAAGAAGCTAGTGCCTAGGACAGGGGTGGATGCCACATGTTTGTACTGTATTCACAAGAAATATTCAGAGGAATATAAATAACTCCCTGCTGGTTCGCCAAAACTGGGAGGGAAAGATCAGTGGGTACTGAGGCTGGAACCAAAAAATTTGACTTCATCCTGAGGTCAGTGAGGAGGCAAGAAGAGGCTGATGTGGGGCTGAAAAGCACTAATGTGCATGTAAGGTTGCTCTTGGTCCTACCTGGGGAGGGCAGGAGAGAGAAGCTGAAGGCAGAGAGGGACTTGGCAACAGGAGGTGATGAGGAGCAGTGGATGCAAGGCAGGAAAAGAGGGAATGCTCTGGAGAAACACTAGAAATCAGATCAATTTGACTGCAATGGCAGGACAGGGCTCGGGGGGAAGACACAAGAGTTAAGGGTGAACCCCAGATTTCTGACCTGAGTTGTGTGTGTCATCAACTAAAAATGTAACCAAGCCAGTGCAGGAGTTTGAGACTGGCCTGGGCAACTTAGTGAGACCCTATCTCCACCAACAAATAATAAATAATTTAAAAGTATCTTACCAAAAAAATAAAACTACTTTACTTTGGATGAAACATTTCTTAAATGCATTTACAACATCCTGCCTTTTAATACAAAGATCGTGAAACACATAAAACTTTCTAGAAGAGTGCCATTATGTAGGATAATCACTGTGAGGCTTTGTAGCAGTGACCCCTCAGGGCTGGCTCCCGGCATCTTACTTATTTTTTGACTGCTGAAGGTTTATTTATTTAGGGAATATTTATCTATTTTCTTTGAAAATACATTATCTTAAACTTCCCACATATGGTTCACCAAAAACAGCACTGGAAAACATTTGCAATGCCATTTTCCTCATTTATATTTCTCTATTGTTGTTAGTATTGAAATATAAAATGCTGTTTTTCCCTGATGATAAAATATTAAACTAGCTTTTTTTTTTTATTACTCAAAGATACTGGACTAGGAAAGTTTTAACCACACACTGAAGAAAATTTTGTAAGTGAATTTGAGAACTTTTGGAAGATAACGTTTAGTTTTTCTAAAATCAATCTAAAAAAATGATGAGGAGTGTAAATTTCACAGCACACCATCTGCAAGCACAGTGCCCCTTGCCTCCCTCTCTCCTGCCATCACCTCCAGCCTCCCTCATTAGAGCAAGCCTCTTTCATTCCATTATCTGCACTAGAATTAAGGTACTCTTTCTCTCTTTCTTTTCTTTCTTTCTTTTCTTTTTTTTTTTTTTTTTTTTTTGAGACGGAGTTTCGCTCTTGTTACCCAGGCTGAAGTGCAATGGCGCGATCTCGGCTCATCGCACCTCCCTGGGTTCAGGCAATTCTCCTGCCTCAGCCTCCTGAGTAGCTGGGATTACAGGCACGCGCCACCATGCCCAGCTAATTTTTTGTATTTTTAGTAGAGACGGGGTTTCACCATGTTGACCAGGATGGTCTCGATCTCTTGACTTCGTGATCTACCCGCCTCGGCCTCCCAAAGTGCTGGGATTACAGGCTTGAGCCACCACGCCCGGCCTTCTTTCCTTTCTTATTCTAGCTTTTTAGAAGTGTAATTAATAATACAAACTGTATATATTTATTATGCACGCGTGATGATTTGATGTATGTATCCACTGACGAATGACCACCACAAACACTGCTTCAGTTTCCTGAAGGGATTTGACAAAGCGTTGGCTTCTGTGGCCCTCAGGGTCCCACAGAATCCCAGGTGTCTCCTCAGAGCCATACAACTGCTGTTTTGCACCACCATCCACCTCAACAATGGAACATTTGGGCTTAAACAAGAGAATTTACCTGTTGAGAATATCTTTCTGGGGTGTGTCTGTTTCTACCTTTTTGAAAACTACCAACCTGTGCCTGGCTTTAGGCTTCCTGTCGCACTTTTGGCCTGTCTGGTTTCTCAAGGACTTCGGTTACCACACAGTCAAGCACGTGTTAGGCTGTGCAATGTGATCTGTTGGGACCTCTTTTTTTCCTCTTCTTCTTTTTCGAGATTGAATCTTACTCTATCACCCAGGCTAGAGTGCAGTGGCACAATCTCAGTTCACTGCAACCTCCATCTCCCAGGTTCAAGTGATTCTCCTGCCTCAGTCTCCCTAGTAGCTGGGATTACAAATGTCTGCCACCATGACCAGCTAACCTTTATATTTTTAGTAGAGATGGAGTTTCACCATGTTGGCCAAGCTGGTGTTCAACTCCTGACCTCAAAGGACCCACCCACCTCAGCCTCTCAAAGTGTTGGAATTACAAGCATGAGTCACAGCACCTGTCAGGACCTCTTACCCCAACTTCTCAACTACTTCAGGCTTCCTGTCTTCCTTCATGATAGTCTTTCCACTAACTTCATTCTTCTCTTCTTGAGACAGAATGTTGAAACAAAATACACATAGAAAAGTTAAGGTTGTTTGTTTTAATTAACACTAACCATTGCCTCTCAGTAGAGTCTAACCCTCCCTTTCTTCCTTCCCTTAAGATACTCTAGAGTGACCTTTAGCAAACTGAAACCCTCAAGTCTGTTCAGGCTCAGTCTTGCTGACTTGACAGCTATTATTGCATGTCGTTGTCATGACTTTGCTCTTCATCATACCAATATTTCTCAACATCTTTTAAATATATGGCTTTACCATAGAGTTTTGCCTTAACTTTTGGTTGTGAAATAGTTATAGACTCAGAGAAAGTTGCAAAAAATGTTCAGAGAAGCCTTTCTAACCTTTGACTCACCCTCCCTCAGTGGTAACATCTTACATTGCATCAGTACAATAGCACAACCAGAAAATTGGTATTGGTGCAGTCCACAGAGCTTATTCATTAGTGGTCCATGCATTCCTCTGTGTGTATGAATACAGTTCTACCAATTCTGGGCTAAATAAACCCACATATTTCTCCCTGCCCCACCAGCAATCATCAGCCCCTGGCAACCACTAATCAGCTTCCCATCTCTATAATTTTTCCATTTTTGGAATGTTACATAAAGAAATTACACAATATGTGGCTTCTTTAAGACTGATTATTTTTTTCACATAGTGCAATTCCTTTGAAACCCATCGAAGTTGTGTCTGTCCATAGCTGGCTCTTCTTGTTGAGTAGTGTTCCATAATATGAATGTATCACAGATTGTTTAACCATTCAGCCAAAGAAGGACATTATTTAGGTTGTTTCCAGTTTGGGGGCTATTACAAATAAAGTTGCCATGAACATTTCTGTAAATGTTTTTGTGTGAGTTTAAGTTCTCATTTCTCCAGAGTAAACTCCCAAGAGTGCAATTGCTAGATTCTAAGTGTATGCTTGGTTTTACAAGAAGCAGTCACTATATTTTCCAGTGTGACTGTTCCATTTTACATTGCCAGCAGCAGTGTACGACTGATCCAGTATTCTCTAACCTTCCTAGCATTTGACATTATCACTATTTTTTTTAATGTAGACATTCTCATAGGAATATAGAGATATTTCATTGTAGATTTAATTTACATTTTCCTAATGCCTAATGATGGTGCTATCTTCTCATGTGCTTAGTTACCATTTGCATAACCTGTTCAGTGAAATGTCTCTTTGTGTCTTTTGCCCATGTTTAATCGGATCTTTTTTTTTAACTGTTAAGTTTTAAGAATTCTTTATATATTCTATATATAAGTCCTTTGGCAGATATGCAATTTGAAAATATCTTCTCCCAGTCTGTAACTTGTGTTATGTTCATATCAACGTCTTTTAC